TATTTCGAACAATAATAATTCGAACACGATCGAGCAAATGGCTAGTCATGTTTTATTTGTTTATAAACCGAATGAAAAAAAAAAAAATGCTCGTGTTCGTCTCGTTTGCTTATGAACAAATCGAACGCGAACTCTCTGACGAACCGAACACGAATTGTTCGTGAACAACGAGTTTTTTTGACAGCCCTAATTTTGGGTGATTTGAGGAGTATGAAAGAGTTATGAAAGGAGAAGCTCGGGTGAAGCCCTTGGCCGGAGATTTGGATCAAGACAACATTACCGTTACAATCAAAGTTCTAATCTCGACCATTATAGGATTCGGGCTAGTGTAGTGTGTTGACATCGATGGTGAGATGATTGGAAGATCCCGTTTGAAGGCACCATTCCAGATTTTGGCTCCAGAAAGCTAGGAAAGCTAAATTTTCCGTTGATTTTTTTGGTTGGCAGTTAATGTTCAGTCGGTGCCAGCTAGTCCTTCATTTGAAAGGAGAGGTAGAGGAGTCTTCCTTATATGCTGTTAAGCAAGGTGCTCTGATACCATGTAAAATAGAGAGGAAAGGAGTAGAGAAAAGTAGCTCGGGAAGAAATTGTCTCATGTTACAAAGGCTGAAACGAGAAAAGGAAAGAGAGAAGAGGGAGGCAAAGCTTACAAAAGAATTTTCCCTCACAGTTAGCTTTAGGATACAAGGCCTTTTAGAAACCAAAAAGAAACATACAGAGAAAATACTTGATTATAGTTTAATATATTTCCTGTAGGTGAAAAGGGTGTGCTTTTATATTGCACAAAGTGGTCTCAACCAAGAAAAAACATTCCGTCCCGACGTCAAGTATCACCGACCGTCACGTTGCCTGCCAATGAGGTGCATGAAGACGTGGCGGCTGGTGGTTGATAGTCCGAACGTGCGGCGACCGAGCATAATATTTTCACCATTAACTGTGAAATTTTGTTTATAATCTGAATTGTCTCTACTTCATTCTGCAATAATGGAAAATGAGATCTATAATTTCTGAATTTATAGATCACAAATTGTTGCATACCTTTATTCCCTGCCTTGATCCGTTTTCAATAAACATTTAGTTCGATTGAAAAGTTAAACTGAAAGAACTGTGATTCGTGATACAATGCATTCAATCTTAATTTTATTTCTTAGTTATTCATTTAAGTTAAAATAAAAAGTGAGAAATCATTCTCTTACATGGGGCTGTCTATTTGGCTCGTTGTTCATGAACAGCTCGTGTTTGACTCGTTAAGTAGCTCGTGTTCGGCTCGTTCGTTAAGCCTAATGAGCCGAACACAAACAATAGTTTGTTCGCTCGTGTTCGGCTCTAAATGGCTCGAAAAAAAAATTATATAATTTTTTATATAAAAATATATTACATATATTATTTATATAATATTATATATATATATGTCTGATTTAAATAATAACACCTCATGGGGCAATGTGGTTGGTATTTTTTTTGTATAGATTTGATCCAGGTTCGAATCCCACATTTTACATCTGTTCTTCTCAATTTTAGTATAACGAATCAATTTCGAGCCGAACAGGAACACGAATATTTAAATCGAGCCGAACACGAACACACTGTTCACGAGCCGATTTCTAACACGAGCCGATTTCGAACACGAGCTATTTCGAACGAGTCCAACACTCGCTCGGCTCGTTTCAGCCCTACTCTTACATGTATTTTCTTAGCAACATACTGCACGAAAATGGGGTTATGTGGCGCTAAAAATATAGCAACAGTCAAATTTACGCTACAGTTGCCGTACTAACTGCCATACTTTTGTTATAATGGGGGCTTTAGCCGACATCGTAGCCATAGTTTTAAGTAAAAAAATCTACTTTCATTTTACATGATCATTTACATAACCTGAAGAGGATCAAAGATGAGCTCATACACATTCATCATTCAAATATATAATCTATCACATTGTGAAATCAGCTACAATATCTTATTATCCATTTAATATATATATATATATATATATATATACTCAAGGTTGTTGATTATCTCCCTAAAAATAAAAGAAATATTAGTAAATGATATATTATAATAGTTAATAATATGATAACATATTTTTGAACTTTTAATTTCACACACATTATGAGAGCTGTTGGATGGTGGAAATTGTACGAAGCCGATGCATGAAGTGTGTATGAGCAAAAGAATGGAGGGATTCGTGATATTCTACTACTATCCCTCCACTAGTCCGATAAGTTCTATCTTATCATTTCTATAAAACATATGAATTGATTAATAAATTCGAATGATATAAGTAAAAGTACTAACAGTTGAAAGATTAAAGCATACTAATACATATGTGAGATAGTGTATGATTGTAACAAATAAAACATGATGACTATGAGCAATGCATAAACAAAGACGCGAATCAATAACCTGCATTTGATTAGTATGTTAAAAATTTGAACCCTTGGATAAGTTGTAGGTATGTTAAAGATTTGATTGGTATGCATGTAAATACGAGTCTTTAGGTGTCAGATATGTAATAATGAGCATAACATTCAACCAACAAACAATTGATAGCATATATTGACTTTTGCTGCCGAATTTTGAGTTTAAAAGAAGGACTGAAGAATAACATTAGAGAAGAAAAAAGTTCATGATAGAACTATTTCAATTGGGATTGCATGATGGATTGAAAAAAGAACCAGAGCTTGAACAAGTGAAGAATAACATTTCAAAATTAAAAGTAAGGATTTTCACACAAGCATGAGTTTGTCATGTATGGAAATTAAGCTTTAAGACATTGTTCATGCAATAAATTACATCATTATCATCACAAGTCAGATCATATTACTTTTAATAATAATTTAAAATAAAAAAAACATTCATATATTGTGATAAAAAAATAGAAGCTTTCCGGGAAGTAATACATGCCCAACGCCGATAATTTCTATTATGATACAAAGAATAATGAAAATAATTTAACAAACCAAAATACAATCACTTGTGTATCATAGCTACTCTTCGAAGTCCCAAACTTATTTGATGGTTTCTCACATTTAATTAACATATAATCTGCACAGTATGATATATGCACAAGTTATTAAAATCAATGTATAAGGATATATGTATGCTTTCATAAATTTTTAGGACATACAAGTAAAAAAAATCCATGAAAACAATACAATTTTAACTTATATATGGTTAGACTGCACTAACATAAACAAAATAAGCTTAGTAAATACTAGGATGAACAACTCATAAAACACTCAATATAAATTAATGAAAGATGAGAATCCATAGAACTAGCAACAATGTTATCATCAGCATGTGCTTGACAAGCGGAATCTTCCAAATTATACACACTGGTTGTACTTGCAGGTAAACTTCTATTGCAAGAGGATGAAATATAGTTATCACACCTTTTAATAGGAAAAAAGTACATAACATAGACCAAAAGTTGAAAATCTATCTATCACAAAAGAGAAAGGGTATACAATTTCCATTCAACTTCTCAGGACTCAAACGTTAAAAAATTTGGCATCCCTATATTGCGAACACATATGCTTCCATATATTTGGTAGCATACATATAGCGTGAGAGATATTGTCTGAGCAGAATAATCAACACATCAATAATGCATCATTAGCTTGTGTGAGACAAGAAAAATCCTCCACATAATGCTACTATAAATAAACCTACACAAAGTTGAACAAGCATGAAAGCATCCAATTGATAGAAGAGAAGCATCGATATCGTTCCATGCTAAGACCTCATTAAGAAAGTAATGTTGAAATCCATCAGACTTGACTAAAGAGAAACTTTCTCACCAGTCACATAAAACATGAACCACAAAATGAAAGGCAGTGTCATGAATTAGTAAAGGTGCTTCAATCCACTCTTGGTGCTTCATATGCTTCTTTCACTACAATCTCCCAATCTAAAATATACAAAACATGATTAGATTAAAAAAGTTAAAAGTTAAAAAGAGGTTTAGAGTGCAATCCATTAAATGAGATAACTAAATCAGGACTGACTAGAACTCATGAAACATCTCATTTTTATTGTTCTTCCAACCAAAAGAAATCCGAGAAATAATTTTTTTAAGCTAAAATAAATGTTTATCACTGCAATCAGACAGCGACTTTGAAGCACGACATGGAAGATCACAGAAAGGGTCTTCGGTGTTTCGAGCGGAGAATGGAAAGGATGGAGAGATCGCTGGGTTTATGAGTTAAAATGTAAGTTAAGCGATTTAAACCGGTAAAAGAATAGGGAACTAAACCGTCATAATATTTTATGGTTTATACCACCGCGATAAGCGACTTTTTGGTAGTGGTTTTAAGATCGACGTAAAAAATGATACTGTCTTGTTTGAATATATGCTTAGGACTACTTATTGAGTCTAGGTTTAATTTGGTAAAGTTTGTTCCTTAATCTGAGGAGTTAGTTGTTATTTTCTTGATCTTGTTTCTTGTTTCTTTCTTAGTTGTTTTCAAGTCTTTTTCTTGGAAGTTCGTTATTAGCTCTAAGCTTTAAATATTGTAAGGCTACACAAAAATAAGTGGGGTTCTAGTTTTCCCTTCAATCTACAGCAATTCTCTTAAGTTTTCTCTTCTTTCTCATTTCAAGAAACCAACAATTTGGTATCAGAGCTCTCTTCTTAAGGGACCCGCGTGTGAGTTTGAACGGCAGTAGAGATCAAGGCTAGTTTTTCCTCATTTGCTCCACTAGTGTTTGACAGAGACAACTACTGGATCTTGGTAATCTGCTTGAAGACGTTCCTGGAAGCTTTGGATCTCTTGGAAGTCGTGGAAGAAGACTATGATATTCCTATTCTCCTTGAAAATCCCACCGTAGCACAAATTAAAGCTCAAAATGAGAAGAAGACAAAGAAGTCCAAGAAATAAACATGTCTGTTTGTTGTTGTTTCCTCTATTATCTTCACTTGTGTCATGTCGTTGAAAACGACAATGGGGATTTGAGATTATCTTGAAATTGAGTATGAACAAGATGAAAATTTTCGAGGGATGCAGGTGCTAAACTTGGTTCGTGACTTTGAACTGCAAAAGATGAAGGAGACAAAAACCATAAAGGAGTATTCTAACAGACTACTCAACATAGCAAATCGTGTAAAATTATTGGGTTCTTTTTTAGAAGATTCAACGATTGTTCAAAAAATCCCTGTGACAATGCTTGAAAGATTTGAGGCTACCATCACCACCTTAGAAAACATGAAGGATTTGTTAAAGATTGCTTTGACAGAACACTTGAGTGCATTGCAAGCACAAGAGCAGAGGCATGTAATGAGGGAAGAAATAATCGTCGAAGGAGCTCTACCAGTCAAGCAACAAGATGATGAAAAGAATAGGTGGCCTAAGAACATGAAGTTTCAAGCTACAAGTGGATAAAGCTCTGCACTTGAAAACAGAAGCAACACTGAAAATAAAAATTAGGAGTAAACAAAGATTACCCTCCATGTCAACATTGTGGCAAGAAAGGTCATCCTCCTTTCAAATGTTGGAGAAGACCAGATGCAAAGTGCATCAAGTATAATTAAATAGGACATGAAGCTGTCATTTGCAAGAATAAAGATCAGCAGCAAGGACATGAAGCACAAGTGGCAGATCAAGAAGAAGATGTCCATCTTTTCGTTGCAGCTTGTTTCACTAGTTCTGAAACTAGTGAAAATTGGCTCATTGATAGTGATTGAACTAATCATATAACACATAACAAGGAGTTGTTCAAGGATTTGAAGAGCACCGAGTCCAAGAAGGTTAGAATTGGGAATGGTGAATATATTGCAATCAAAGGAAATGGCACCATAGCCATTGCAAGCTGTTCAAAAACCAATACAAGATATTGATCAAAACTTGCTCAGTGTTGGTCAATTAATGGAAAAGAGATTCAAAGTGATATTCATGTAGAATACATGTGTGATAGAGGATGCTACAGGTCAAACGATGTTTGAAGTTAAGATGGCAGGGCGAAGTTTTTCACTTAATCCAATGCATGAGGAACAAATTGAAAGCACTATGAAGATTCAATCAGCAATTGAGATGGTTGAGCATGTGAAAGTTGATGCAGAGCCGAGGGAATTAGAACTGGAGTCAACCTTGCAGAAAACAACTGTAGAGCTTTTAGAGTTGAAAGATCGTCTTTTGAGTATAGAAATAGAAATCCCAGCCATGTCGCAAATAAATGATGAATTGAAAGATGAAATGGATAAGGCAATGGTGAGCCAATTTGATTCAGAGCTGGGGCTGATAAAGGTTATTATAGAAGTCACAGAACTGAAAGAAAACCTATTAGATAAGGAAACACAGCTGCAAAGCATTATGGATGAGAATGAATAACAAAAATCGGAGCTCAAGAGAGACATGGAGCATCAAGATAATTATGTTGCAGCTATATTGGATGCAGAGAGAGCAAAAGCAACAGAACAAGAAGCACTGATGAGACTAGGTGTTGTCAATGGGGAGGCTGAAAAGAATAACAAGAAGGAAGCAAAGGTTTTGGAGTAGCCTCAGGCAGTGAAATCAGAGATGGAGGCTGAGCTGAGGAGGCTTAGGGTGTAGTCAGATCAATGGAGAAACACAGTTCAAGCAGCTGCAACAGCTCTCACACCAGGGAACAATGGCAGAACAGTTGAGAGGACAGGCTCTCTTAAATCAGACTACAATTCACTGCTACCCAGGAAGCTACTAAGCTCCCCTTTCAATGAAGACTTGGATGATGATTCTCCAAAGAGGAAGAATGACAATATGTTGAGGTGCTAGGGAAAATTTTAATGGATCCCAATCTGGAGCAGAAAGAAAGCACTGAGAATTTTGTTGACAACCAAGCTGTCATTTTAATTTCCCATAAGCCGTGTTTCATGGGAAAACTAAGCATTTCAACATCAAGTTATTTTTTCAAAGAGAAGTGCAGAAAGAAGAATTTGTGACTCTGGTTTACTGCAAATCTGAAAATCAGGTGGCAGATTTGTTACAAAGTCACTTCCAATCAGCAAGCTTGAGTTTCTAAGGCAGAAATTATGTGTTCGCAGCTTCTAAAGCAAGGAGTGTTGGAATATACGCTTAGGACTGCTTATTGAGTTTAGGTTTAATTGAGTCAAGTTTGTTCCTTAATCTTAAGTGTTAGTTGCTATTTTCTTGATCTTGTTTCTTGTTTCTTGTTTCTTGTCTCTTTCTTCTTCAACTTTTTTTCTTCTAAGTTTGTTATTAGCTCCAATCTTTAAATATTATAAGGCTGCACAAAAATAAGCGGGGTTCTAGTTTTCCCTTCAATCTATAGCAATTCTCTTAAGTTCTGTCTTCTTTCTCATTTCAAAAAACAAACACGTCTTGGCTGTTCAATTTTTGTACGGCAGAGGACGGTTGTTTGATACGTTATAACTAAAATGACATATTTAATAATTTTGATTATGAATTGATTATAAAGAATGGTATGCAACGCTCATCTTCGTAAATAGGATTGTAATTAAATGTTTATTATTCTTAAATGAATATATTAGCAAAAGTATTTTAAAATCGTGAATTTTTGTTCGATGCCCTAGATAATAAAACATTAAAATTATTTTTGAAGTTATTAGTTTCTGACCCTACTAAAATGAGACGAACAAGAGTAAATAATCCTACTATGTCACAACATTTCAATTCTTTGCTGTTAAATAAAATGATTTGCCTTGTAGCAAATACTTAATTAAATAAAGATTAATGTTAATGCTATATATATATATATAATTTGAAGAAATGATTGAACGTTCTCTATATTTACTTAACCTTAACAAAATCAATGATTGTTCTGAATGTAGGAACTATATAGGAAGAAGAGATGGCGACCGGTAGAGAAAAGTAATGAAAAATATTGACATAAAAAGAACAAAGTTTTCCATCCATTTATAGTTCAAAATGAAGACATGCCAATGGATGATTGTAGTGTCCAACGCATTGTATCACAAATATTGCTCTATACTAACAACCCAATTGGACAAATCAAGATATAAGCCATGTAACTTATTTTCTATAAGTTTGGGTGAAGTGATGATGGGAGGTGTAGGCAAATTTTCTTTCAAAATGCTTGTTTAAGAATAGATTTATAAAACCTTTAGAGGAAACGTTGTTCATTTTGGTGATATGGTTTGATAAATGTTAGATCTCAAATTGTTTGATGAATTATGCTTAAGGTTTAGAGCATTGATCTGAGAAAAGAAATAAGGGGAAAATTTTGAATAATTGATATTTGTTTCTTTTAAGTGAGATTCTTTGTCCACCTTTCGAGGATTATGCTCTATTTATATTAATAAGTAGGATATATATGTTACATGATGATTCCTCAAATGAGAGGAACGTTACTATATCTAATGACTCATCATACTTACACATTTGTAACTTAACATTACTCCTTACATCCTTGTAACTGATTTACAACTGCTAGATTCCTCTAACTCCTTTGCTTTTAGCTTTATATTTGCAACTATTTGACCAAGATTTTTAATTGCAAGTGGTTGTCCGTCATTTAGTCGACAACCAAAATTATTTGGTTGTCATTAATGTTCTTTGGTCACAATATTCTAATGTTTTTGAATGTGAAGATACATCATCTTAGGATAGGATTATTTCATCGGGCAGAGTAAATCATCGTAATCTGACAAGCAGTCTACTCTCGGATTATGCATCTTTGTTAAAAACACTCCACCTTTTGGCGACTGCTATTTTCTAAGGTCATAGTTATTGGATAATTGGTGCTGGCGTTATTTGTACGATGCTGATTTGGTCGTTCACTCTCTTTCGTTCGGCCACCCCACAAGAATGACTGATCATTTGAACGACTTATCTATATTTTTATTTCTCCAATCATTTATCCTTAAGATTCATGCAAGCATATATCTAATGTACAAAAAGGTTTCAATGGAGTTATTCTGTTAAACATAATTCCTCAACTTTTTCACCAAATTGATAAAAATATGAAAAAATCAACCATGGAGGAGAGATGCAAATTTTTTGTTAGTGGAAAGTAACATTTCTCCATTGGACCATTTGTATTGAATGAACTCGGCATGTGCTTGTTCCTGATTTGATAGATTGTGGAATTTGATAGATTGTGGAGGTTATAGTTTTGTTTGATTCTTAAGATCCATGTCGTAGGGTTGTTGCCAACTTATCCAAGTATGATAATATGCATAAACTTATATGAAATTGCTCCATTGGTTTTGTACAATTTGCTTTATTAAGGGTTTTGTTTAGGCTTATTGTCTTGCTATATTAATTCCCAAAAAGAGCACAAAATAATAAGGATAAATAATGATCAAGTTCTTTTTCAACATCTTCAACAAATGTGGAGGATGATGCTCGAGAAAAGCATCATAAATACAAATAAAAAAATAATGCAAGATATTTTTTTTTGTTTACTCAGTACTTTACTGACCAAAAAATATAATCAATATAACTTTTCACATGAATGATAACTGACAATCTTTACTTCGATGTGAATATAATAATTGTTCCTCATCCTAATTGTCTTAACCTTCTATCTAATAAAAAAGATGCACATATTGTATGCATAACAAACACTAGCTAACCTTAAGACATTTATTCTTAATTAACCCATGGATCCCTCATCCTTATTCCTATCCTTGGTGTAAATCATCTAGCCATACATACCTATGGAACTCACAGTGTGATAAGGCAGTGATTGTTGGTGCTTTTGCGTCACCTATGGTGAGTGGTGAGTGTAATGTTGTGATTTGTATTAAATTTATTTTTTATCTCTAAAAACCCAAAATGAAGTTATCATTAATTTTAGAAATTTTACTCTATTCAAATTAAACTTGAATGGTGACTCATTATATCTTTAATTGATTCGAAATACTAAATTGACTTGCTTTGTATTGAGTGGGATGAGTGAATTAAATAATTGTAATACTTCATTAATTAATAATTTATTTTTAAATTTATTATCATTAGTTATGCCAGGTTCCAAGTCCTAGATGTGAAAAGTAGAGGGTTGTCTTACTCAACTGCCAGAATAAAATTTATTGAAAAATCATGATTGAATCCCTTAAATCTTTGAGTAAATGCTATGATGTCTCTCGGAAGCGATGATGTTTGGGTTCTTTTTGTAAACTCGAAGTTGCCAGCTTGATTAATCATTGCATTTGGATTTCCTTTCCAAAGAGCCCTCTTAATTGAATCGTCAGAACGATTTAAAGAAGAGGAGGGATTGTAAAATGAGGAACAAATGATGAAAATTAGGCAAACAAATTAAAAAGAACATAAAGAACTTGTGTATGGTAAAGAATGTATGTCCAGAACAAGACCGGATCAAAATATCTTGAAACATGTCATTCCCGAAGAAAATTCATAAATAAGCAACTCAAAACCAGATAACCAAAAAAAATATTTTTGTT